TTGCACATCAGGGAAGTGGTAGGCTGGCCTTCTAGTGGCTTCCGTACTTATTTATCATGTCGCTGCGTTGCCCTATAGCATTGAACAGGGCCTGCTTCTGCTGCGCTGTCGCGCGTGCAGGGCTTTTGTTGGCTTTTCGACCGACTTCAAAAAAGAGGTTGTCAATTCGTTTCTTTAATGTTCGTCACCTCACAACTCCGTCATTTAAGGACCGATTTTAAAAATAATTTTTCCATTAGGTTCGGTGTAGCTCCCGTGTAATTTCTCCTTAGTAATTTTATTGGAACTGGACTTTGTAGTACTGAGATAAATCAGAGAACTGCTCAAAATCAAAAAAATGTACAGTTAGTGAGTGGGATATTTGAAATCGGTTTTGTTCTTTGTTACTAAAAATATACTTTTGTAATACTCACTGCTGCTTACTCAGCGGATTAAATTTAACTGTACTTGTACTAGATTTAACTCGATAGAGTTATGTACTGTCGCAATAGGAAATACTTAATATTCACAAGTAAACAAACCGATTTAACTTGGCCACCGCATTATACATTAGACGTTTAAATCATTTGCATATTTTATACCTCTATTGAATATTTGAATTTCGTTTTGTTCATGTTTCAGACTAACTTAACTAAATCATGGAAAATGAGTATTTACGATGATAGGCTATGAGGGTCTGTGGCCGAATGATCTTGTGAATCACTCGATGATTTCCCTTCAAATCGAACATGACTGTGATAACACAACAATTTCATTGTCAATTTCATGGGCCGCTCAAGTATACTGCTTTAAAAGCGCCTGGGAACTGAGTTATATAAGGATATATATTGTAAAGGGTTCTATTTTTTTCCTTTTGCTTATATATTAGCCTTAAGTGTTCCGTGAATAAATAAAAAAGTAAAGCAACTGAAATGAGAGGCAACGTCGGAATCGTATCAAATTTCTGTGGTGAGAGTGTTCAGTCTAAATAATAACTATCTTCAAAGCTTTATTTCTATATCATCATACTCATTTCAGCCTGTTTGAGTCCACTGCTGAACAAAGGCCTCCCCCATAGACTGCCACGAAGTACGATCCTGAGCCACCTGCATCCATCGACCTCCCGCACATTTGCACCGAATATTTCTATATGTATATCTTTTATTTCATTTGCGTTTATAATATAACTTTGAAGCCGTTTTTGTATCTATATCCAGACGTGAGATTCATTTCGTTTTATGTAGGTATACAAAATTAGCTTATTCCCAATTCGTTTTCGATTCATATCCCTTTCCGATTGGGCCAAAACTTTGCAGGTCGCCTGCGCTTCAACTTGCGTCTGTAGTATCCTGGTTTCAAAATAGCTAGCACCCCAATTTCACATCGTACTAGACAAACAAACAGTTCAATTATAAAATCAATCGACGGACAGACGTAAATTGTGACTAAGATATATTCACCTATTTGTTTATCCGTTGAGTTTAAGTATATCGGTCAATATTATTGCGTCAAAGATCAAAAGGGCGGCGGGCAATTGATTCGCGGAGCGGGCCGCTACCCGATCCAGAAATATCAAGCCACATCGACGGGATCGATTTGTAAAATGTTATTGCATCTGTGCAATGTAAATACGCCCCACAGACAGCCTAGACCCCCTTTGCGGAAACCGTCACGAGGCGAGAACTCTTTAGCGCCTCGCAATAATAATGGATATGATTTTAATATTTTTTGTTGAAATTTAGCCGCGACGCGTTACCTGCCAGTGGGCAATGAACGAATTCACGGCTGATTTCTATATTCTATCTATCTTTGATTTGGTTACTGAAGATATTATTTTGACGTAATTATTATGGAGCTAATACGTGTAGCTAGTTACCAAATCTACGGATAGATAGCATATTGAAACTGGCCGTTAATCATCTTTTGATATCACTGAGAAATCAACTTCTGTATTGATTTCTTGTTTATACGCGAATATTATACATTGTTAGATGTTTGGAGATTTTATCGCGTTTTAATTTGATTTTTAAATTCTCGATTTTTCGAACCCTTTCCAGAGTTCATGGTCTCGGGACAGACAGTCCAATTCAACGTTCATTTAACCACTTCAACTATTTATTATCTTTATAGGAGAAATGGTGGTAAAACGATGGTAAATGTTTACCGCCTCATATGGACCATATACATTTTCCCTCTCAATCTAAAGCCAAGAGCAAAATCATTTCGTTGAGTCGGTCTATTCGTGACTCAAGAAAGCCGGTGTCGCTCTAACAGTCTTCGACTGCTGACAACACTCGGAGTCGCCTCAATGTTACTCCGGTACCACGGAGTACCTGACTATGCTTTGGAAGCACAGTCTTAAAAACGTCTACATTGTTATGCTCTGTCATATTTTATCAAAACACTAGCTGTATATTTCGTCATCACATTCATGCACCATTGAACTTAATAGGACCTTGCGTTGATTATATCGATGGGTTATATTATTCTACGGTCCATAAACTATCTCTGCAAGAAATCGTGTAGATATAATGCTCGTTTGGTGCGTGAAAGTAGGGCAAATTAACACTGTTTCTTGCGTTTAAAATATTGGTATTGATATCTCTCTCTATCTTATAACTGGTTCGTATATACGCATGACCAATAATAAGTGGTGTATATATATATATATAGATTTATATGCCAGAATATTTGCCCGGATAATATTTGTAGTGAAATAACAAACGTCCATAATCCGGCCCCACAGATAACCCAATTAAATAACGATTAACTTCTACTTAGCTACGTATTTATTTACAACGCGTACGTTTCGAATTGCCTCATATAATACGTCAATAGAAACACACGAAGAATACTCCAAGCATTAGTTTCACAATACTTCATGGAGCTACCAGGTCCAATACAGTTCATGAGTCTGAACATTTGATGCTTTCTTTAGTTAAAGGTCATTTTTATTTATTATTTTCCATCCTCGCAGAGTCAAATACGGCGAGTGGGTACATGATAACATTTACTTCCATCCTCTTGTTATTATTCTTAAAGTACAATTAAAAGTGTTAATAGTGAAGCAGTCATAGTGCTGTGCGTATCTTAAAATTACGCGCTACTGAGTTCGTATCGTTCGAGGTTCGTCCTACTTACAAAAATTGGGCACGCCATTTATCTCCAATTGGGATTTTATTAACTCTAGAATAAGCCGAAATCATGTGTTCAAAAATCTGTCAGTTACTCTATGGAGGGTAGAATTATTCTACCCTCCATAAATTACTCGTATTTAACGTCTTATTGGAACATGATTTACACGTGACAGTAGGCTGTCAATCTTCGACCTTTAGGATTTATCTTGTTGATTCGATTCAACGACGTGATAGTAATTACGTTTTAAACATTTGTTGTAATTATAATAAAGTAAAATGTTAATTTGAAAAATTGGACAGACATCAAGGACGCCGTCAGTACTTGAAGACTGGCGCAGGATAGAGATTAGCTCAGTGAGGTGGTCGCTGACATCCGATAGATACGGCACCCAAGAAAAAGAAAAAGTTTATGAAAATTTTCACTTTGCAAAATCCTTACTTCCTTACTAATATAATAAACGCGAAAGTTTGTATGTATGGATGGGTGTTTGTTACTCTTTCACGGCAAAAACGAATGAATAGATTTTAATGAAACTTTAGAATAATATAGCTTATACATCAGATAATATAATATATAAAATTCTCGTGTCATGGTGTTTGTAATTGAACTCCTCCGAAACGGCTCAACCGATTTTCGTGAAATTTTGTGTGCATATCGACCAGGGTGGAGAATCGGACAACATCTATTTTTTTTTATCCCCCTAAATTTAAAGGGTGGTCCACCCCAAACATTTTTTTCTATCTTACAAATAACTTGTATGGCAAAACAACGTTTGCCGGGTCAGCTAGTTTATATATATATTTCATGTATATAAACTAGCTGACTAGCTATTCTACGCAGACGTAATCGCGGGCAGCAGCTAGTAACGAATACGCCTTTCAAGTAAGACACGTTAATTTGTTCTTCCAGGCAAAGGACACATCATGGACCTCTGTTAAAATGTGAACAAGTTTCCTTTGACTTCTAAATACGCCATCCAGTGAAACGAGGTTCATTGATAAACTAAATGAAACTTAAGTCACGGACGTAAGAAATTTGCGGATTTAAAGAAGAATTACGCTTCAGACCCGTGATAGCTCAGTGTCAGGGCGCTCGCCTTTAATTAAATACAGGGTGGCTTTTCTAAGTGTATCCATTTTTTTTATTAAATTCTAGACATAAATAATGTTAAATATATAAAAAATTATATAAAAAATGATAAATATTTAAAATCACTCGTAAGTCATTAATTACATTCATTTGAACTTATCTCAAAAAGTGCGTGATTTATGGGCAACTCATTTATTTTACGAGCGATCATTCATAACTAACACGCACACAAGTTCGTGCACAGTAAAATTTAGGTATTTATGAATGATTACCGCATTGTCAACACGTTCTGTTTTTTGGGGAATAAAATGTTATTATTTTTTTTTTGAAAAAAACTTTGTTTTTTATTTCAATAAACGATTATACTACCCAATCTGAACCTCCTGTGTAAATTTGGGCACCTTTAAAAAATCTCCCTGTATACTCGACAAACCTGAGTTCGATTCCCGATGCCAGCACCAATGAAATAGTCAATTTTAAGTGCTGCATTATCACGTGCTCAGCAGTGAAGGAAAACGTGAGGAAACCTGCATATTTTCGAAATAATATAAAAAAATATATAGATACGTGAAGTCCGCCAATCCGCAGTGGGGCCGCGTGGTGGACTATACCCTGATACCCTCTGTACAGACGAGGCCTTTGCCCAGCTGTGGGATATATACATATAGGCTGATACTTTGCTTTACTTTTGTTACGCTTCAGACACGCAGCTGGGGCGATCTGATAGCTCGCTGTCCGTTAGTAAACAGCCGGCATTGCTTCCTCGACGCGGGCCGGGGCGAGCGAGTTATCTATCGGCGCGTTATCACGGGCGGGGTCGAGAGGCTCGCGGCGCCCTGTTTACGGATCGATAGCGGGGCACGCTCTAAACATATGGAGCGGCGGTCGGTTGCCACCTGCCCCATGTCCAGACCCAGGGCATCCCAAACTTTGTGCCAGCCCTGCGAACTCGTAATCGCGTGATAGTTTCATTTTTTGATTAGATGAGTGTCATCGGAACAGATTCTTGTACACATTTGCCGCCATCACAACTGATATTTGACCGGCACAATAGAAGTTTTTCTTGATTGACGACGATAAAAAATATACATAAGTAAAACGACTTATTAAAAAAAATAGACAAAACACGCTATCGCAAATCGCTATTAAAATAGACGAACGTAAAAAATACTTTGTTCTTTTATTCAGACCGAAAAAGCGGTTCGACTGGCCGTTCATTCGCTTAATTTCAAACATCGAGTAGGTCTTTGATTGTTACTTATCAGTAAAGTAATGCAACGGCTTCCTTTGTTGCACAAACAGGCAGCTTCGTCCGGGGAAGTACCGGGGCCATACAGATGACCGAGGCAAAGGAGTATTTGTTCTTTTGAATTGTCTGTTCAGTGAGGTCACGGGGCCTGCTCACATAAGGACCGCCACCTTGCAACTGTATGGTGGCTGTAATCATTTAACATGAGTTCACCATTATATACCACCACAGTAAAGAACGTAACTTACTTTTCCAACGCGAAATAGTGGCTCCAGTCCGCAACAGTTTGGGAAACGGTGCCCAGCGGCGTGCGAATCTTATCGTATTCAATAAGCATTTATCGCAAGGTCGATCGTTCACGATAGCGATGATCTGGCGATGTCTCACTCTTTCTCACAGCACCGTTTCATATAATGTGCCAGTGGCCGCCCTCGTTTTCATTACGCCTCCAAATGATATATGAGTAGTAGATAATGGTATTCTGTTACGAAGTGCGCATCGGATGTGCGTAATCTTTGCTGCGGTTAGCACATCGCAACGTGTCATAGCGACATTCCGTATCAGTATAATATTATGTGGGTACGTTGAAATCGCTTTTGCGCTAGTAAGTAAATAGTTTCATTATTTCAAACATTTAGATAACAGCGCCATGGCATTAATACACAAGTCCCTTTTTGTTCACGAATCTGTATCTGCTCGGCTCTGCTGCTGTAATCTCGGCTCTGTATTCTTTTATAGTTGATTTTCAGGAGTTCCGCTAATTATCTCCGGAGCCCAAGGTCCAATACCAATGCATGGGAAGCACCAGCTTTCAAATAAAAAAAAATAATCAAAATCGGTTCACCATGTCGAAAGTTTTGCGGTAACAGGCATAAAAAATTCGAATTGAGAACCACGTCCTTTTTTGAAGTCGGTTAAAATGGGTTAAAAAGTGGGCTGGTTGTTTCGTCTGTTCATTAAAATTTATAATAGTGGTTTTTTTTAGGAAGCAAAAAAAAACCGAATCGCGTTTATCACAATTCTATGACTCATTTCAAGAGCATAATGCAAAAATCAAGGCGATTTTTAATGATATTTCTTTATCGTAAACAAGCATATTATTTATATATTATTGTGTATGCATTACGTTTCTTTCAAATTTAAGTTCAACTTATATAGTAAAATTAAAACTAATTTAAAAAACATACAAACGTACATCCTTTGTGAAACGCTAGGTTGTTGACCTTTATAATCTACATATATTATTTCACAAAGTTGTTTTTGTCGGAATACCACTAATTCCATAACCATTCATCAACTTTAATAATTCAAACACCATTTAAAAACTTATGTTAAGGTTTTGAAAAAAGTTGAGAAATAGAAAGAATTTTGTGTTCATTAAACAAAACGTTTCGTTTAAAAACTTCATATAAAGAATGTATGATAATGCCATCTATATTTTATTAAATGAAATGTAGCGAAGTGTATCATTATCCTTAAAAAAATGATATATTTTGTTGATAAACACTTATTTATAAAGAAGAACGAATGAAAACATTTATTGCACAAACACGCCACATTAGGATTGAACAGTTCCAACCTTTATATCATAATATACCTACATTTAAATCGCAAATATTAAAAAAAATATATGAAACACACATCGCAGATTGTACATACCCTCTTGGCGTATACGGCAAACAGACCGCACTAAGCTTCATGCAGCAGTAGATACCAGAGTACAGCGCTGGTTTTCACTGTCCCTGTGACATTTACTCATTATAATAAATTATCATACAGGTGCTGATCACGGTACTCTGCGAAAAAAAATACACGGATCAACTAGTTAGCAATATAACTTGTACTCCCGCCCCGGCTTCGCGCGGGTGCAATGTATTATAACAGGATGCATATAAACCATACTGTTGCATCACTCTATTAAGTAAAAAAAATCCGTTGCATAAGTTTCAAAGATCTAAGCATAGGAACGGACAGACAGCGGGACGACTTTATTTTGTACTATGTAGTGATAAAGACGCTAATATTGCATATCACACACGGTCACGATACATCACGAGACATCATTGTCTATCTGCATTCATAATCTGTGAAATATTTGAAATTTCGAGAACTTCACAATTTATGAAAATTAAAAGCCATTCTCTAACTTCACTTGTTCCCTTCACGCGACGATAAAATGTTCTTTTTTGTATCATTTACAAGCCCACCTAGTGGTTGTCCATGCATCGTAGAGTATAAAATACCTTATCTAATTAAACGTTAAAGGGAAGCCGTTGATAAGATAAACTGTTTTCGGCATGGGCATGAATGGCGAGTGTAGTTGAGCTGCATGAACGTCGACGATATTTGATTCACAAAATACCGACCAAGTGCGAGTCGGACTCGCGCACGAAGGGTTCCGCGCCATTATCTATCTAAACGTCAAAAAATCATGTCTGTTGTATGGGAGGCCCACTTAAACAGTTTTTTATTCCGTTTTTAACCCTTTGTGTACGGAACCCTACAAAGCACTGATTTTGGAGAAACTCATTGTGAATCTCCTAGCAAACAGTGCATATTTGAATATACGTTTTTGAGGTTTCCACCTTCCATTCAAAGCAGCGAGCGCGGCATTACAGCAAAGGTTTAAATCTATAATATACATATACATATGAAATTCTCGTGTCACGGTGTTTGTAATTGAACTCCTCCGAAACGGCTGGACCGATTTTCGTGAAATTTTGTGTGCATATCGGCCAGGGTGAAGAATCGTACAACGTATATTTTTCATCATTTTTCTCCCTTACAAATCCTTACTAATATTATAAAGGCGAAAGTTTGTATGTATGGATGAAAGTTTGTTACTCTTTCACGCAAATGCTACTGAATGGATTTTAATGAAACTTTACAATAATATAGCTTATATATCATAATAAGATATAGGCTATAATTTATATACATGTTTTATGTATTTCTGTTTTTCTGTCTGAATGTTACGCCTACAGTCTATTCTACGCAGACGTAGTCGCGGGCAGCAGCTAGTAATTTATATGGCAAAACAACGTTTGCCGGGTCAGCAAGTATTTTAATATTAGAGACGAGTCGTATCTTAAACTTTAAACACCGACGCAATAGAGTTCGACAGTAGTCATCTTTGGTATTGTATTCCTTTATTCTTAACAATAAAAATCGTGTTGAATAATTCATGCAAAATAAAATATCCTACAATTAAAATTGTTCACAATCGAAATTACGATTACAAACATTACAATAGATATTATAAGTGTCATTATCATTAATAAAATAAAGCAACAAATGTCACAAAAATAATGAAAATATTGGTAATGGTTTGTAAAAGAAAAATAATGGTTATAATTTTAAAATGTCATGAAAAACTTTAAAGGTTATTTAATTGCATTATCGTCTAGTAGCCTGAGCCACCTGCATCCATCGACTTCCCTTGCACAGTTTGTAACTACATGTGATGGGGGGTCGTCCCATACTGGTGACCAGTTAGTAGGCGGTTGCCATTTACCTTTCTTCCCCAACGGTTATCAGTTCTACGAGCTATATGGCCCATCGCCACTTCAGCTTACTAACCTTCTGAGCTGTCGTTACCTTTACCTTTGTTCTACTGCGGATGTCTTCGTTGCGTACTCTATTACGCAGAGAAATACCGAGCATAGCCCGCTCCATTGCTCGCTGAGCGACTTTGAGCTTCCTCATACGGCACGCAGGGAAGGACCACGTCTCAATTCCGTATGTCATCACTTCCGTATCGCCTCATGATGGAATATTGGATATCCTTCGTATTTTTTTTGGATTTGGCCGTTTTCTAATATGTTTGTCCACTTTTCAATGATATACCTCTTATCCTTTTTCTGATTTGGGTAAAATTGATTTGAGAAAACTTTTTAAGGTTTTTATATGAGATATTTAATATATTTAAGGGCCAAGGGCCACGCAGCAGCCTCGGCTGTTGCACGAATGAGCAGGCTCGTCCGGGTAAGTAGCACGGCCTCGCAGAAGACCGGCGTAAAGTGGAAGTATCATACTTTCGCGTTTCGTCTGGTGAGTGAGGAGGCCGGAGCCCAATATTCAAAAGTTTGTCAACGCATCTGGAACTCTCGGATGTAGCAGATGTCTATGGGCGGCGGTATTGACTTAACATCGGGTGAACCGTCTGCTCGCTTGGCAACTTGTCACATAAAAAAAAACTCACTATAACACAAAATCATACGTGGGGCACGTTTAAGTTTTATGTTACTTAATAGTGAGTTCAGGTTGACAGTGAGAGTTTTACGTTACTAACAGTGAGTATATATGTGATTGTTTGAAATCTCTCCCATCGACAACGTTTCGGTGTGTTACATTAAACCATTGTACGATCGGGCTGTTAGTAAGCAATTGACGCTTAATTCGTCCAATAGAATTGTTGACTGACGACGTAGGGTTGTTACTTGATATTGACGTGATATGTTCATATTGATGCTTTGTTTTTTTTTTGGTATTGGATTTTGGGTTCCGGAGATACGTGGGGAACTCTTGAAAATCAATTATAAAATTAATACAGAGTGAGATATTTGAAATCGGTTTTGTTTTTATTTGACCGCCGATTGACATCTGCAACGCGCGTATGGAAACTGATGCGATGCCGCCTTTTAATAAAGTGGGCCCCGTTTACCTCACTTATCAGACGGAACGCAGAAGTATAATTGCCACTTCACGCCGATCTCCTGTGTGGTCGTGGCACTCATCCAAACGGGTCTGCCCATTTGTGCTAAGCGAAGACTTACGTGGTCCTGTCAGAGTAGTTATAAACAGTGTATAGATTAACAAGATTTCAGTTGCATCAACCCTGTTAGATATAGAACTGTTTACTCGATTTATATTCCAGATAAGTTAAATTTATTTCATACTTATATTACAACAGTTTAAATTGATTTGTACAATTATACTATTCACTACTACAAGAACCATGGGAGATTCAAATTGTTTTGGGATCGTGACTCAATTGTGAACGGTTTTAGATATGTCGATGATCCATGTCACAAAGGTTTCGTGATATTTTTCTTTTTTTTCGCTACTTAGTTAGGTATTCCTTATAATTCAGTACGCGTATAGACTTAGAATGTAACATTTGTCCAACGTCGTGTTAATCAACATCAGGTAATGGAGAAATGTTGCCGTAGTAATTACCTACAAAGCCATACAAAAATCATCAGTCTAAGCGTTTGTAACTTAAATATAACACAAAAGATGTTTTTCTCTGGCTGAATCTGGATTACAAAGAAGCATCTAACAAACCTTATTTTTAGACTAAATGAACAAAGGAAAGATAATACGTAATGGCCAGCCCTGGTATACAGTAGAGGCGATAGAGTTAAATTGTAAGCTTGTAAATAGTACAGCTATTTACAAGCTTACAATTATGTTCACAACCATGATTTCATATTATTGTTATAACAACATACAGCGTGTCGTTACCATCGCGACAATAAATGAACACACATAAAGGGGATAACTTTTTAAAGTTGTATTAAACATTTAAATTCTTTGAACATCAATATTTACAGAGTTATTAAATTTTCCAAAACAAAGAATTTTAGAACAACCTTACCTATAAAAGCGTAACGTAAAGTTCAATTGTAAAGGTCACAAAGCACATGAATGGGTTGAATGAATTTAAAAGCGACAAAACATACTGTTAGAAGGAGAGGCTTGTAATGCGACGCTGTGGCGCGAGTTGAATAGGATGTTACAAATTTTGTTTCTTTTTTACTTAATTAGTTTGTTTGAAAAAAATTTTTTTTAATTATGGATGTTGTTTAACGTTAACATTTTTTTTATGATTATTGGCAAGTAGCGTTAGACGTGTGTTCATTTATTGTCGCGATGGTAAAGACACGCTGTATAAAGGCTATATGCTTAGGGGTGACTTTGGACTTTCATCTGTTTTGAATCAATGTTTGTCCGTTTGTTTGTATTTTAGGAATTGCGGTAGCGTTCATCGGATTGCGTTAAAACTTTGTCAACATATTGATTGCACTTGCGCAACGGTTATAGGTCTAGTACAATTAACTTATCATAGGTAGTGCATGTATCGAACTAGAAAACGTATTGCGGTTAGAACGCATTCCTTATATTGTGATGACAATAATGATAGCAAAGAATCTTAGGCGGGCGCGAAAGAAGTATTTCTATATATCTATCATTTTGATAAATTATGAATAAAATACGTAGTACATAAAAAGCATAGCAAAAAATAGCCTACATCGCTAATTACTCACGCAACCACTAACTATATTGGTATAACTGTTTCTGTTAAATAACCAAGTTAGGATATGAACTAGCCTTACAAATTAAAAATTTTTAATCGTTTACTCACACTTATATGACACATGGATAAAGAAGGCCATTTTTAAAAGGTTTATCTTGTATATCGAATTGAATAGGCCTATTAGAAGAACTACGATGAGTTTTAATGAACATATCAAATGTCGCTAGAAAATGGTTACAACCACCCGACAGGCATTTTCTCCGATGATTTATTTTCAGCCGAGAATGCGGACGTCACTGAAGTCTTGTCGTGGACGTTGGGCATCTCGCACTGCGGCTATCCGTCACGCTCTATTTAGGGATTCTGCACGCAGGTGCGAGGGAGACGGGCCACGGTTGTCGGCTCCCGCGGCGTGACGTCAGAGCTGCTGCGCCGCGCCGTGGTCAGCCTTGACCTTGCAGGCTCTCGAGTAATTCGCAATGTTTATGCTGAACGCGAGCGTGCCACGCTAATTGGTAATCATGGACGCAGAACAACGGGCTCTTCTGAGCAAGCGCACGCGAACAGAAGAGCTGTTCGCTTATATAGATACGATCCGACATGAGCCTACGACATTGATACTTGGGGTACCGTATGTAAACATATAATTTGAAGTATGTAGAGAAATTAATGAATCCGCCGCCGACTCACTTTAAATAGGTTGTAGAAGATTGGTTATTTTGTCGTTTTGGAGATCTGATCACTCGGCTAGTAACGCTTGACGCCAATATTGAGAATAGATGACGAATTTATCAGACTAAAACAGCAGAGAAATCATTCAATTTAGATATTTAGATCACATTTGTACACAACATTTTCTAGTCCCAAACTAAGCAAAGCTTGTACTATGGGTACTAGAAAACTGATAAACATACTTAAACATACTTTTCTTTTGTAAATAAATACATATTATACATATAGAAACACCCAGACACTAGAAAAACACCATGTTCATCACACAATATTTTTCCAGTAGTGGGGATCGAACCCACACCCTCTGGCGCAGGAGGCAGGTACATTACCCACTACGCCATTCGGGTCGATTAATTAGAAAATGAAAATTTAGAATCTTTGGTTATCGGAATGGAGTCCTGGCGTGAAGTGGAAGTGTTATACTTCTGCGTTTCTTCTGGTGAGTGAGATAGCCGGTGCTCACTTTGTTGACGTTGGCAACGCATTTGCAATCCCACCGGTGTTGCAAATGCCCGTGGACGGCGGTTATCATCTATACACTACACTATATATCTATCACCTAAAACCATGTGAACCGCCAGCCCGCTTTTATTCTTCTTACGTAAGAAAAAGATACGACTTAAGACCTTCAAGCGTCTGTTCTTCGCCTGAGATTTCCCACATTGCACGAGTATTGGCGACGGTGATAATGCCATCTGCCACTTCCAATATACAAAACATTCTAACCGCCTACTTTGGCGTTCGACTTTAAACTGGTCTTCTAAACAAGCGTGAGTAGAACACTGAACTAGTTAAGTGAAATGCGTTTACTATCTACGGTTACAAGCCATTTATCGCCAGGCACCGTAGTCCGATAAAAAATATGCCCTAGTAGTAGAACAAGGCAACGTCAGCTGACATAATGTTTTTCTACGATCGTTTTGTCTGCATCGCGACAGAATGCAGATGTAAATTTTTACGCCTGGCTGAACTGTCACGCACAGAGATGGTTGGAGTAAACAATGGTCCGGTGGTTTTGTGCAGAAGTGACGTGTTTGAGACGTGACGTCAAGTCGGACCACCTCTAGGTGACGTGCAGAACCCAGGGTAAGGTGCTCCCTGCCTCGACGGAGCGACGATCGAAATGCTACTGGTAGCGTTGTTGATACAAATAGCAAGGACGATGGTTGTCCTTTAGATAGCCTTTGTATAAAAGTCTACTATTAAAATGTAAAGAAGTGATAACTCAGTGTCCGTGCACTCGTTTTTGTTTCACGTGGTGGACTATACCCTAATACCCTCTGCGCAGAGGACGCCTTTACCCAGCAATGGGACTTATACAGGCTGTTACTTTGCTTTTTTTAACTTTGCTAAAACGTTTGAGGGTCAACCAAATACTTGTCACATCCTAGTTCGAACTTACGACCCCAACGCTGAAGACATTGCTCAATAAATGTGCAATCTAGTTATCGGATTGATATAATTAGAAAATGAATATACAAGGTACTAATACCACGATGTTATTAGCTTAAAGCAAATCGTCTGTAAACCCACTTCTATTGAAACGCTACCCGTTAGTCATTTATGCACTTAAAGGCGGCCTGAGTCACGGGCGCAGCGTATTAAAACCACATACCAGCGCCGTTTCCCCGTCGTCCGCTGCATGCTTATGACTTAATCATAGCATGTCGAGGAGGAAGCGTTTTTACGTATTTCCAGTAAAAACTCGACGCGCGTCGTTCGATTCGACGAACACGCGCCTTCACTGCCAATTGTAGCGATGCCCATATTTGTACCGCAACGCAAAGTAGGCACTTAACACGCTTACAATTATTAATAGAGTCTAGAATGGTTACTGAAAAAAAAAACCAAGCTTGGATCGTTTTTACAACGGACTAATAATTATAAATAAAATAGTTTAACCCATATAAAATAGACGTTGCATGAATAAAGATATTTGACTTTGACTTTGAAAGATTGGGCGTATACAATATATAAAAGTGTAGTATGGAGAGTAGCTCTCAGGTTGCTCAGGAAACTCAGATTTATAACGTTCAAAGTACATCGAAATTGTTAGGTGCTAAGTAGACTATACCTGTAAACAGTAGAATACTGTAGTAGTCACGCAGTGACTTTTGCAGTCGCAACTCCGCTCGTACAGGCAAATAACCCAGGCATAACAGTAGCCTAAAGCCCTCTTTAACCATACCAACACGATTCCTTTGGTTCTGTGCATTATCATGCACTTAACCGCACCCACTGCCACCTTTCTACCATACAAAAATGTATCAGATTCAATTATACGAACAGGTTATTACATAAACATCGTATTTTCTTAAGTTTGCAAACAATGAATACGGAATGAACCACGTTAACATGCTGTTGTTACTAGGGATGTCATAAATTTATCGATATATCGATATAAAATATTCAATATCGAAATCATATTAAAAACGATATTTTTTTCAAATTTGAATCCGGCACACAGTCCGTAGATGTTAAATATGTATTAAATACTTCACATCTCTTTTGTTTTGGAAGACGCGTCATAAACAGAAAATATCGATAAATCGATATTTTCTCTGCGATGTACTATAATAGATATTAATATTTTCATAAATATCGATATATCGATATATTTCTTCACTTTAGGCAGCTCTAGTTGTTACCCGATATTTACATTCGACATAACATTATCGTTCACTTTACGCAACGGGCCGACACCCCGTATAGCTTTGCAAGTTTAATATCGAAAACAAAACGTAACAAGACATGTCGCGTCATTGCCGTACACACGTGAGAGTCTTTTCGCGTTTAACTCTTCATATCGAGTTAAACTTTTACGTACCAATAGCCGCTTTTAATGTGAATAATTTAGTGATATAATAGCGGAACCGACAGACGTCCTTTACACGCGACTTAAATTTGTCGGATTTTAATTAAAAAATCGAAGATAAATTAAAAAATTAAAAAATATGCAGTGGACCGAATTGAATCTAAACCATTCTAGAATCCACTTGACCACGCACTATAAAAATCATCATTATCGGTCAAGCCGTTTAGGAGGAGTTCAGATATACACAGAGAAGTATTAAAAACTATAATAGTTTACCCGGCAAACGTTGTTTTGCCATATAAATTATTTGTAGAGCAGAAAAAAATTTTTGGGGTGGATCATCCTTAACATTTAGGGGGATGAAAAATAGATGTCCGATTCCCCACTCTGGCCGACATGCACACAAAATTTCACAAAAATCGGTCGAGCCGTTTCGGAGGAGTTCAATTACAAACACCGTGACACGAGAATTTTATCTATTAGATAAATATACATATAACAAATTAAAAGAAAGCAAGTTATGTACGAATGTATAAGCATGCAAACACGTTCCAAGTTGATGCGACGAGATACATCTTTATCGTCTCTGACACAGCTTTCTGTGTCAAAAGACTGGAACCACTGACCCGTGGTGGTTACTACATTTTCATTTGTCGATAACCCGGTCGATAACGTCTTAGCGTAGATAAAACCTGCCAAATACGAGTCGGGCTCACGCACGAAGGTTACCGTAGCATTATCTATAAAAACTGCAAAAAAATCATGTCTGTTGTATGGGAGCCCCAATTAAATATATTTTTATTCTGTTTTTTAGTATTTGTTGTTATAGCGGCAACAGAAGCCCATCATCTGTGAAAATTTCAACTGTCTAACTATCACGGTTCTTGAGATACAGCTTGGTGCAACACTTCATTGCTATCCTGTGGTAAATAATGATATAATTTTAGAGGGTGATACAATAAACTATTCTGAACTCCAATAAATGGCTTTTCTTTTAAAAGCATAGCTTTTACCATAAACCACTTCTACCGAGGGGATATAATTGCATCTAATGATAGTCGACTATGTTTTATATATTAGAGATAGCAAGCATGCTTGTGATGGATAAAGTGAGCCTGGGGGTTTCAGATGCAATTCCAATCTTTGAAATAATGATACCCTCGAGTGAAGCGTCAAATTATTATACTTCCCCTTATAATATGTCTGTACTTTACGTCTGTATTAGAAAACGTATTATTTACCATTTCCCTGCTAATAGAGATGATTTGATTTACGCTGGCTCTCTATCGTGGTAAGTACCACGTACCATTTGTGCAACAGCGGAAAAATGATATTTGAACCTTCAGAATCCGAATGCCGCGCAGATTATCCAACCGATGGGCTTTCGATTGCGGCCGTATATCATGCCTTGTGAGAAATCCACTGATGAAAGTGCGCACTTATATAGTTTGTATGCTGGAAAGGATATAACAATAGATGCGCCAAGCATTCAAACGCTAAATAACAATGTAGAAGGAAGGCGTTAAGATTTTCGTCGCTGTGGCTATCAGCCGTTTAGCTCAGTGGCTAGAGCGTCAGGCCGCGAATGCCGAAGACGTGGGTTCGATTCCCACAGCGGCGACAATCTTTTCGTACTTTTTCTACATGTTTTAATGATGTGTTTTTATCCATTTAATATGTATACTAAAAGCATTGAGAGCCCCTCCTCCTAGCAAGCATTAATACTAAATTGCCTTATTTACTGAAAGTTTTTGGCTTTTAGCATAGCAAAATGTGCCTAGATAAATTGTCCGAATATTTTTTGCCGCTGCCTGGGTTTGAACCTGCGCCTGCCGTGGAACGCGACCAGACTCTCTAACCACTAAGCTAAGCGGTCGGCATTTTCACCACACAAAAGTTTCAACGATTTATCTACTTTGTTTTTTAAAAGGCTTTACAGCAAACACACTTCGTCAAATGACAATCTAGCGCATAAAATAAAAATTATATTGTAGCCGTCGTAGTAATAAAGTGAGTAAATTACAAAAAAAAAAACAATTCTACATTTTAATTAG